TGCGGACATTGGGACGTCGATGCGGAACTTGAATGCGACACGATGACTGCAAATACGGAGCTCGCAATAGACGCGATGAAAAACCTCGAGCTTCTTATGATACTCGCCGACACAATGCGCGAAGGAATCGTGGCGATTAGGATCGCTTCCCACCAGTGGGCTGACGCCAAAAGCAAAGAATACAAGGAGTGGCTCAGGGACTATTTGCAGAACCACAGCCTCGTCAAGTCAATCACCGGAGTCCCTGAAGAAATATGGGGATGCCCGGCGACTGCTTCGAAGTTGAAAATGACAACTCGTGGTCTGGTAAAGCAAATAAAAGTCCAGATCCTCTATGAGGAAATCCAGAAAGAGATTGACGCTTTAAGGAGTGTACGGAAGAAGATTGGATCAACAAATTTCAGGGGCGACAGGTCTGCTCTGAGGGAATTCACGACTAAAGCCAAAAATGCAGCCGAGAAGTTTCAAGAGTTAGATAGGTATAACGTTATACTATATGCATGTGAGAAACCTAGAAAGAAATCGTCTGTTTAGAGGAGCGGATAATGCCGTCTTTGGAATGAGCGTGCTGAATCAAGGTCCTCTGCTGGACTGCTTTACATCCGCGGTATTATTGTCACAGATGCCAAATGCGATAGCAATCCATCAATGATTCAACCCGGTGACTGTTCTCGGGTGGTATTTAAACTCTCCAAAATGTCTCCTTTTCTCTCCTATACACATCAATGTCTCTACAACAGCAGTTGCACAGCAGATCTACTGATTAGGTTGTGCTGTCGGAACGATTCACGATATTCAAGTCTTCGGTCGCAACCCGCAGATGTACCAAAGACGATTGGCGAGCTGAAGTTGGCCAACTCCGGCAGCCGGCAGTCGCTAGTTCCAAGCTGGTTTTAATCACTAGCACCCGACTGGTCCATGGGATTCATGTGTTGTCGATCATCAGCCCTTCTTGCCGCCAAGACCTTGACGCTGCAGACCAAGGGGCTATGCAGGTCTCAAATAGGAGAACCAATTCTCATTCCCCAAGAACGCCACGACACCAATGACCGACACACACGATTGGAACAGCTGCAACTGCCCGCCGAGTAACCCGTAAGCGGCATACGCTTGTCTTACCTTTTGAGGAGCGACGAGCCGATCCGCTCTACGAAAGGCCAAGTTCGCGGGCCACACGTCATGTGGTACTTAGCAACGTACGACCGCCATTGGAATTACGGGGAGTGGTGGGGGGGGGGGGGGGGGGGGGGGGGGCTGGGGAATGGACGACGACACTTCTTTTTTTTTTTTTTTTTTTCCTTCTACGTGCCAACGCAGAGACCCTGATTCTTCTTTCTGATTTTCTGCTCCGGTCTGTCCACAAAGGCCATCAAGGGATAACTAGTAGCCATTGCTGTCTACCGGGGCAAGCAGACGATACTTAACATGTCGACGCCCATTCCTCGGCCACCTGGCGTCCCTCTTCTGGGCAACATTCGCGACATCGACCCGTCCAACACATGGTGGTCGTTGAAGGGACTGGCCGAGAAATATGGTCAGTACTTTACCTTGGAAGAAGGCATCCCGATCAAGGCCTCCATCTAAACTAACCCTTCGGCAACGATAGGCGAGATCTTCCAGATCAAGGTCCTCGGAAAGACAATCGTCTTCGTCGCCAGCGCGGCGCTCGCCGAGGAGATCTGCGACGAGAAGCGGTTCCGCAAGTACGTCGGCGGGCCCATCGAGGAGATCCGATACACCGTCCACGACTCACTTTTCACGGCTTACGAAAGGGAAGCCGAGAGCTGGGGCGTCGCCCACCGCATCATCGCGCCCCGACTGTCTCCGCAGGCGACCGCAAGCCACTTTGACCAAGTTCGCGACTGCACGGCCGAGCTGATCGAGAAATGGGCCCGTCTCGGCGCGAACAACGCGATCGCGCCGCTCGACGACCTCAACCGCCTCAACCTCGAGGTTACGACGCTGACCCTGTTCGGCAAGAAGCTCAACTGCATCGCCGCGCCGCGGCACCCGATGCTCGCAGCCATGGAAGATTCGACCTCGGAAGCCATGAAGCGGCCCACGAGGCCCAAGCTGCTCAACTGGTTATTGTATGACGGCAAGCTCAAGAGCGCAACCAAAACCATGCGCGAGTTCGCCGCCGAGATTGTCAAGCATCGCAAGGAGAACCCAACCGATCGCGACGACCTGCTCGCCGCTCTAATGACGGCGAAGGACCCGGAGACCGGCAAATCGCTCACCGAGTCGCAGGTCATCGACGAGATCATCACCATGCCGATCGGGAGTAGCACGGCGCCGTGCGCCATCACCGCCATGATCCATTTCCTGCTCCAGAACCCCGAGGTGGTCGTCAAGGCCCGCGCCGAGCTCGACGGCGTGATTGGCGACGGCCCGTTCAAGCACGAACACCTGTCGCAGCTGCATTACATCGCGGGCATCGCGCGCGAGACCTTACGGCTGTCCTTTGCCGCGCCGGGGTTCAACATCGAGCCGATCCCGCGCAACAACGGCGGCGTGGCCGATAAGAGCCCGGTCCTGCTGGCCGGCGGCAAGTACCAGATCGCGCACGACCAGGCCATGATCATCGTGCTGGCAGGGGTCAACCGCGACCCGGCCGTGTTCGAGGAACCGCTGGCCTTCAGGCCGGAGCGCATGATGGGCGAGTCGTTTGAGAAGCTGCCGTCGGGCGTGAAGAAGTGGTTTGGCAATGGCAAGAGGGAGTGTATCGGCAAGCACTGGGCGTGGGACTTTCTGAACGTCGCGGCGGCCATGTTGATCCACGGGGTGGACTTTGAGGCGGTGGATAAGGGCTATGTCATGAAGCAGGACGGGTGGTTCAATGTGCGGCCTGTTGGGTTCCGGCTCAAGGTCAAGCCAAGGAGTGCCTAAGTAGGGCCCTAGGTGAGTGAGTAAGGTACCTACCTACCTACCTAGCTACCTACCTACGTGTGGGTTCCGTCATATTTATGCAGTGTAATTAAAAGCGTGGAAGAAGGGGATCGTTGCGTGAAAGTGCAGCTGCTGCTGCAGTGCCATGTGAGTTTCGGATCAATTTTTTGTCTGAAGAGTTTTGAATACGTCAGAGGAAATGTTGTGTTGAAAACAAGAAATGTGTTGAAAACAAGAAATGTGTTGAAAACAAGAAATGTGTTGAAAACAAGAAATGTGTTGAAAACAAGAAATGTGTTGAAAACAAGAAATGGGTTTGAACAAGATGTCTTTCCTCACAGATAAACCAACCATCGCGATATGTATCGGAGAAAAGAAGGAAGTTTTTCTTGCCTCGAGGGACTTAACCGAGAGAGATTGGGATGGCATCAAAAGATGACTGCTTTGGCGATATCACTCCAACACACCTGAATTTTGCTCTCGGTACTAGCATGTTTGTGGAGCGAGCTAATCAAGCAACTGGCGTGTTCTGATGGGGGCCGGACATTGAGCTTCTTTCCACGAAACTCCTCCAAATTTCTCTGAGCATGCAGCTAGTTACGTCCGGTCCCCTTGGTTGCCGAACGTTGCAGACATATCCTGTCCGTCAACACCCAGACTGCGTGGTGCATTCGTCACAATCCGAGTCCTCAGTACAGATAATACTCTCACGACCGGATGCATGAGAGCCCGTAGTGTCACGTCATTGCGCAGGCTTGGTGAGGAGGTTTGGGATGCCGGTCGCCCAACGGTGGACTAGCAGGACCTGACTGACAAACCCGAGACCCATCTTTGACCTTGATGTATGCCCCGGGATGGTCCCATTAGAGTATGCGGCTGAAGAAAGGAGACGGCTGTCTAGCATTCGAGTCCACGCCATCAACGCCACCAGGCCACGCAGCGACGCAGACGTTGAACTGGCGTCAACGACATGGGTTTTATGCGTTCCTGTCTGGTGATGCCTAATCTTGGAAGATGCAGGGACGCGTGTATGGTAGACAACTCGTGGGAAAGTTGGCAGCGGAAACCCGAGGCAAGAGAACGAGGGTGGCCAGACTCGGGACAGTGTCCTGCGGATTGGTGTTTCTATTCTCAGATTTTCTACCTCGATCATGGCATGCAGGGAAAGTCTAACAGACAAAACATCATCCTATATAACACCTCGTCCCCGATCATTTTGATGACTTGTTTTTTTCTTCCTCTCATCACCAGCATCAATCATCCATCAAAATCTCACCAAGACAACAATTCTCATCCAAGTCTCTCCCCCACAATCGTTTCTAAACAAGCACAACCGCTCCGACTCTCGACTCTCACAGTGCTCGTTCTCTCCTCCAAACTTATCATCCAGTCACCACCACAACCGCCAACATGAAGACCAGCTTTGTCGCCGTTTTCGCCACCGCCTTCACCGCGGCCACCGCCATCACCATCTCGCTCCCGTCTGGTGTTTCGATCCCGTCAGGCATCTCGCTTCCTTCGGGAGTCACCGTCGTGAGCGCCGCCGCGACCACCACTGCGGCCGCCGTTGCCGGGAACAAGGAGAGGCGCGTCGCCAAGATCTTGGGCGCCCGCCAAAACTTTGGCGCTCAGACGCAATCCAGCAGCAGCTCGCAGTCTACCGCCGACTCCAAGAGGGATGTTGGTGACATCAACATCTAAGTCATGATACCTTTGGCTTTGGCTCAGTACCCTGGGGCTTTGTAAGAAGGAGATGATGTCAGTTTTTGGCCAAGTTTTGAAGTGTCGGTCAATGCATGATCGGAGCGATAGATTAGCAGCATAATGTTTTGACTTTGAGGGTTTAGAGATTGCTCGGTGCTCTTTGGTTTTTGGTTTGGTCAATTATAGTTGTCAGAAAACTGTCGTAAGTGTAAAAGAGGGAATCATAATGAAGCGAAGAGCTGGTTGGAGGAGAAAAAAAGGGGGTAAGGGGATAGATAGGCCTTTGACGATGTTTTGTACCTTTATATCGCTATTACTTGTCGGGTTTAATATAAAAATAGAAATAGTCGTCTCTGAAAAAATAGAGATTCATCATCCGTAACGAAGAAGAAAAAAGATGACATGATTGGGACCTGTGAGGCTCGAACTCACGACCTTTGGATTACTCCAGTGTTTAACTGGATCATAGCAAGTATGAGACCAACACTCTAACCAACTGAGCTAAGGTCCCATAACTGGTGAAAGTAGGGTAAATTGTGCGCCCTATCTATGGGGCTCGTGGAGGTAGGTTGTGGATGCAAATAGGATACAGGGAGCGGAGGTGGAATGAGTCATGATGTCTTGATAGTACGACGCTTTTAGACGAAGAATCGCTTCTTAATAAGTTTATGTTGGTCTTCTAGTTTTCTTGCTACTTTATTTGTTCCGATAGAACCTCTCAGCGAAAAGTCAAATGACACGATTGGAACTTGATGCGCCTATGTCATTTGGCGATCCGAGGCATGTCACGCATAATCCGCAATTCCGCATCATCTCTTCGGGTTAACATTCTGTTTCTGTCGACGGGGGCTAGTAAACACCTCCGGGTCCAAGAGTGGCAGTCAAGTTCGGTAGCGACTTGGCCTACATCCGCAACGGTGCAATTTAGCCTGAAATAAAGCACGTGTGGTAGACAAACCGATACCACCCTACGAGCCGGAATTAAGGGAAGATATCAATGGGCTCTGATGTAAACTTAGCTACTCACGGACTGGTGTCGATTCAATGTTACAACGTAGATGTCCAAGAACCTCAAAGTTAGCACCAGGTTCCCGGTTTCCGTTCAGGGGCCGCTTCCCGATTTGCATACTGACGGATGTACTCTCCGAAGAAAACCGGGTCGAGACGCCATCTAAGTAAGGTAGCTACCGGAGTGGTGTTACTCTCTCCGCCAAACATGCTATCACGAGGACATGGGCAGTGCTTTTGTTTTCACCTCTAGCTTGCGTAATATCGCATTGTAACCTCATTCATGCTATTCCAGGTCATCGCTAACCGGGTGAACGGCGCGCCTGTACACGTCTATGCGTGTCCGTACGACCATCGTAATGCTACCCTACTCCTGAACGAAATCGTAGATCAAAGAACCCAGTAAAAGGAAATGATTCTTTTTTTTTTTTTTTTTTTTTTTTTTTTTGGCAAGGACATAAAGCAGTCCATCTCCGTCGTCCACCTCCGTTCAGATCGTTGGTCTCTCACCTGCAGGAAGCTTTCCGCCACTCCTCTCCCCCAGGCCAACAACTCTCGCCGGACACTCCATTCCAACCCATAATGCACTCCAAAGCACTTCTAGCGGCGCTGCTCGCACCAGCAGTGGTGACGGCGCAGCTGCACCAGCTCGCCGTTGCCGCCGGTCTCAAGTACTTTGGAACTGCGGTCAGCGAGGGCAACGTCAACAGTGATTCCGCCTACAGAGCCATCGTCAACAACAAAAATGAGATTGGCCAGCTGGTCCCGGAAAACGGACAAAAGTGGGATGCCACAGAACCCAGCCGCGGGAGCTTCAGCTACTCCTCCGGAGACATCGTTCCCAACATCGCCAAGGCGAACGGACAGCTTTTGAGGTGCCATACCCTGGTGTGGCACAGCCAGCTGCCTAACTGGGGTGCGTATACATCCGGTGCTTGTTATCTAGTTGTTTTAGCACACATATGCTGACATGGGGTGTCGTACCTGTAGTCTCCTCTGGATCGTGGACCAAAGCCACCCTGACATCTGTCATCCAGACGCACATCTCCAACGTCATGGGTCACTACATCGGACAGTGCTACGCCTGGGACGTTGTCAACGAAGCTGTTGCCGATGATGGCAGCTGGCGCAGCAGCGTGTTCCTTAGCACCTTCGGAACCGACTATTTTGCCATTGCCTTCAAGGCTGCCAAGGCGGCCGACCCCAACACCAAGCTGTATGTCTAGGTCCTCTTCTCTATTCCCCCTTCCCGAACAAAAGCTAACCCGCACTTAAAGGTACTACAACGACTACAACCTCGAGTACAACGGCGCAAAGACCGACCGTGCCGTTGAGCTGGTCAAGATCGTCCAGGCCGCCGGTGCCCCCATTGACGGTGTCGGCTTCCAGGGTCATCTCATCGTCGGCAGCACTCCGTCGCGCGGCAGCCTGGCCACCGTGCTCCGTCGCTTCACGTCTCTCAATGTCGAGGTTGCCTACACGGAGCTCGACATCCGACACTCCAGCCTGCCGGCGTCATCATCAGCGCTGGCAACCCAGGGCAACGACTTTGCCAACGTGGTCGGCTCGTGCCTCGATGTCGCCGGGTGCGTCGGTGTCACCGTCTGGGGCTTCAGCGACAAGTACTCATGGGTGCCCTCGACGTTCAGCGGCGCTGGTGCGGCGCTTCTCTATGATAGCAACTTTAACAAGAAGGCGGCGTGGACGTCGGTGTCGTCGGTACTTGCAGCCAAGGCGACAGGTGGCCCGGGTGTGTCTACCACGCTCTCGACGTCAGTCGTCACGACGACCTCGAAGCCTGCGGTCATCACTACCACCAGCACAGCAGCAACGACCACGACGAGCAGTGCTAGTGGTGCGCAGCAGACGCACTGGGGACAGTGCGGCGGTAATGGATGGACTGGGCCGACGGCTTGCCAGAGCCCGTGGACTTGCCAGGTTGGCAATCCTTGGTATTCGCAGTGCCTCTGAGTGTATGGGTCCCGATGATGAAACTGAAGGGGGGAGGGCAATAAGATATTCTTGTATATATGTTAGCAGATAGGTGCACTTCTACCTCGATTTACAACCTTAATATAATTTCTGTGTCTCCAAAACTAAATGACGACACATTACCATTGACACCACCGGAATGAATCACTGCGGACTTTAAAGGAGTGACTGAGGTGAGAATTATTGGTAATGACAGAAGATGAGAAGTCTGATCTAGCTCTACATGTTTTATCTTTGGGATCTAACAACAGTACTGTATCATGCCCCTGCCCCCTCTCACCCCTTACAAATCCAAGGACACTGATCATGTGTTAACAGTTCCGAACCACAAAAAATTGTTATGCAATTACCCAAAAACATTCCAAACTCCAACAAGCACCCAGCCGCTCTCTCAACCCACTGAACTTAAAAGAAACCCTTAAAGTTGGCGTCATGCCACAGATAGCCCAGAAGCCAAAGCCTCCCGGTCGCCTACCAGTTTGTTCGACACAGAATTACTGTGTAAACTGGATCCCACGACCACCACCTCTGGGAGGACCCCTCTTCTCATCCTCCGCCAGCGACCCCTCATAGGAGTAATGGTCCGGCGACTCTGGCCCTCCTCGAGTCGGCATCACATACCGACCAGCGGCATTCACCACGGGCAGATCCTGGGGATTGAACACGGGGCGCGAGAACCTGTTGTACGCGACGAATGTCTGGCTGTTATTCACCTCGGCGTTAACAGGTGTGGGCACACGCATCGACATGCGCCGGATCTCGACGGCGTCCTCGTGGATCGGCTTGACGCCGTAGAAGTTGTAGATCAGGTTCAGCCCCGGGATCGACAAGCCGTGCACGACGATGGAGAACAGGACCAGCCAATAGACGACTGGGATCATGGCCCGCACCAGATTGGTCTCCTCGGCGTCGCCGTGGCCGAGCTCGGGGAAGAGGTGGCGCGTGTGCTCGACGTAGAATACGGCGCCGGCGCCAATCGGACCGAAGTAGCCCATGAAGAGGGCCTCCTTGTAGTTCTTGCAGACGCCCGGCATGAACTTATACGACATCAGGATGGCGGGGATGCGGCGGAAGATGAGGATCAGGATGCCCAGGCCGATCAGGCGCGGCACCGTGATGCCCGTAATGTCGGGCTGGTGGAACTCGCTCCACGGCATGACGGTGCCGATGTACATGAAGCCGCCAAAGTTGAGGAGCACGTCGACGCACGAGTTGACCTCGTCGTGGCGCTCCTCGGTCTCGCGTAGGTACTCGCCGTCCCAGTTCATGGCGTTGCCGGCCACGAAGCAGGCCAGCAGGTCGTCCGTCCCGAGCATGCCGCAGATGCCGACCAGCCACAGGCCCAGGGCCGTCGGGGTCAGCAGGTAGCTCTCCGAGTCGATCCATTTGCGACGGAGGGCGAACTTGAGCGCCTTTCCGGAGCCGAACCCGACGACGACACCGATCGCAACCGACATCAGCACGATGTACAGCCATGTCTCGAGGAACCACTGCCCCATCGCGACGCCCACGCCGCCGCCGAGGCGGCCAACACCCTCCTCCTGTCGTGGGACGATGATGCTACCGGCCACTCCCCCGAAAGAGCCATCACCATGTTCGGAGCTAGAGCTAGAGCTAGAGCCATGTCCCGCACCGGGGATGTCGGCGTGGCGGATGAGATAGACGGCGAGCATGAGGAAGGGAAATCCGAACCCGTCGTTGGCGCCGGCCTCGGAGGAGATGATCTCGCGCAGATCACGGGCGACGAACTTGTCGGCGAAGGGGCCCTTGGCGATGGCCTGGGACAGGATCGGGTCGGTGCAGGTGACGCAGGAGCCGATGACGAGCGCGGCGAGGAGGGTGATCTTCGGGACGGTGGCCAGCATGCAGAGGGTCGTGCACAGCCACATGATGGTCATGATGGGTAGCAGGCACAGCGCCATCTCTTTCCAGCGAAGCTGCTGGTACTTGGCCGGCAGCTGATAGCCCGCGATGACGAGCTGCACGCCGATCATGACTCGCGCGACGCCAAGGGTGATGTCGCTCGTCTGGCCTTCAGCTGCGGAGCCCCATCGCTCGCTGTCGATGAACTTTGCAGCGATCGGCCCGAGGCAGACACCGATGAAGACGGCAGGGACTAATTACAACACACACAGAGAGTCAGTCGGTTCAATGTTGATTGTTTCGTTTTAACGATATACGTACGGGCCTCGCCAAGGAACCACCGGCTCTTGATCTTGACCGAGATGATTCCATAGAGAAGGATGAAAGTCCCCAGCACACCCAGAACAATGTTCAGTTCGCTGACGTCGAGAGAAGGCATGTTGTCGAAACGTGTTTGTGGAGTCTGTGGTTTGGGTAAGGTAGTTTCCCCTTGTCCAGCAAAAGGGCTTTCAAACTTTATGACCGCAGTACTGGAAAGGGGAAAGGTGTGAGGCACGACGAAAAAGGGGAACCCTCGTGACGCAAGCAAAGAAAACAAGAGCGTGCCAGACGCAGAAAAGGCAAGTGTTATAATATGTGCAATTGAAA